CTGAATTACAACATTTCAAAATTGAATTACAAAAAATTCAGTGCACATGACAAAATGCAGCTTAAATTAAACAATTTCAAATTCAAAAATGTGCCACTCAAAAAGCAGAAAGCCTATTTGAACATAAAACACATTCCTTTTTTCTCACATTGAGTTAATGAGATTTAGTGATGACCTTAGGCTATCTAATAGGAAGGAGATTTTGGATATGATTAAAGGTCAATAAATACACCTACTATTAGACCTACTAATGTCAAGATAGGTATAATCTTAATGAAATTCCTATTCTAAGAAATAAAATACAAGAAGCTTCAAAAACTTAAGTAGCCTACTGCTTTGTAAATTAGTATTAGTAAATTTTGTAGATATTTCTAAGGTATTGTATGAAACATGATTAGTGGATTAGTATCTATTTTGATATGTTAGTGTTTTTATTAGTGACCACTGGCTGGTCTATTATCATTCTATTTTTACCACATTGGTCATGTCACCTCATGTGTGGTGTGATATCCATACCTTGTATTTATTAACCTTACTTTAAATATGATATATACTTCACTTGTTCATTAAAGTATGTTTGCCTCATATAGTTTGGCCACAACTTTACTTTTTATCTAAACAACCTCAACCTTTTGTGATACACTTTAAGATTTACAGTAAATATTTTATACAAAAAGGAAGTTGTATCATCTGAAGGTAGATGTATGTTAAATTTTTGATTAATATAAAACTTAAATTGTTTTGATAATCTGATGATTTAAGGGGATAAAGTTTAGAATGAATATCAAAGGGGTGACACAAGTTTCTTGATACTATGAGTAAAAAAAGGGGCAGACTGACTTAATTGGGGGACTTAAAATGCAGCAGCTCTGGGGAAGCACAATATGTGCAAGCAACCCCTGGAGTTTTTAAGATCTTCCTCTAGAAAATGTTTGAAAAATTGAATTATTGTACATATTTGGACCAAACATAAAAACAATAATGTTTTTAAATTTGTTATAAATGAAGTAGTTACCATTTGGACTCCAAACCATTTTTCTAGGGGGTGGGGGGAGAGAAATGTACCCTATACCCTACTCGCTTAACTACTGATGTCAACTTATGTTATATAAGACAGTAAAACAGATTAAGCATCTTAAACTGGTACATATATTTATATCATTTGACCTACTCTATATATGACAGTATAATAGGTTTCTTTATCAGTGAATAATATTTACTATATGTTAAACAAGTCTACCTTTTATTTGTTCCCTGTACCTGTGTTATTTATTGTACATACAAAGAAAAAAGATTGCTTAAGTTTTCAACAGATTGCAAAACCATACTATTTTATAGATATTCATTCATAGTGTAATTTTTAATAGACATTATATTCATTATTTAATTTTCTTTGTAGCTTTGTGTAAAAGTCAGGCAGAGTGTATGAAGCAGGAAAACATTTTTTATGGGGTATTTCAATGTATTTGGATTTACTGAACTTTATAGCACTTCGTGATTTTTAATTCTGTAGAAAGAATCTACTTACAATGGTGAATTATTTTATTGGTATTTATATCTTGTGATTATCAAGAAGTGGAATAGGATAAAACATTAACTGTGCATAGCCTTGCTATTTAAGTATTTGAAAGTGGGATGTCATGCATGAAAGTATTATTCATGTGAGATATGATGTTGATTGACATGTTTTAGCTTGGAAAATCGTGTGACATCTTTAAGCAATACCAAGAATAAGGTAAACCCCTATGTTATATTATTATACTTCTAGATACTCAGGATTTTAGGTGCAATATTCTAAGATAAATGAGACAAGGTAACAATAGAATCCAAAAGTAAAGTATGAAACTTTCAAGTGTTTGGAAGTGCATGGCTAAACTTATCTTGACATAAAGAAAAAATGAAAGCTACAATAATAAAACATGGCCTTCACTATTTGTGCACAGAACTTCAATAGGAGATTCATTATTCAAGATATTGATGTGAATATTGTTTGTAAATAATAAGTTTTTGGCAATCTTTGTAGAATTTCGAACCTTGATGCCCTTGTGTTATTATTTTGATCAACTCAACTATTTTGTAGAATCTGCATATCTCTTACGGTTGATTTGGAAATTTGAAATCATTCCTTGCTTCAGGTCCATAGGCTTACATGTGTTATTACAAGTACATGTAATTTAACATTAGAAATAAGTGTAATCACTCAAGAAATTGCATACGGGTGTAAGAAATGTCCCCTTTTCAGAGGCTCTTTTTTAGAGATAACTATACATTATCATTTGAGGTTGTATGTATCAGAATTGAGATTTCCTTCTTAGTTTAAAGGAGCACCTTCACTATCCGCTTAATCAATCAATCATACCTTAGTTTCAGAAACAGGAATTATTTCAACATAATCAACAATAGTGATCACAGCTCAACGTCGAAATTTGAGCCTTCAAAGCCATGTGTATCCATAATTATTCAAGTTTGAAAGTTAAAAATTTGACTCGAATTTTAGTTTATGCCATATATAGAAAACACAGGAATAGACAGTGAAATTTCTAGTTTGAGGTATATTTGAATGGATTATGGGATTTTCATGCGTTTAAGTACTTCTTAAGACTATTAAAGCACAATTAAGACCCAAATCAATCCTTCAAAATGACGACTGTTCCCCTTTAAGTTCTCTGAATAATAACATTACTAGCATTACTCAGTAGTTCCAGACAGTGTACAGTGTGTATTCCAATATCTTAATGAAGTATTTGTTCCACTCTATGCCTGAACATTTTGAGAATAAATCCTTCTATTCCATGATCTAATCCAGGGTCAATGCTTTTGGTATATTTACATTTTCCTACTCAACCTAAATCATTACAAATTTAAAGTTAACGTTCTAATTAATAAAAATAAAGTCATTAGAAAAATGCAATTATGGGTAAATTTTCATTTTTCAGTAGTTCAATGTATTCTCCTGGTCTATAAATGATTTTTTTGAGGTTGTTAGCTTATAGGTTGTATAATTTAGATTGTAAAGGCACATTGCTGTTAATTTGACATTTCCTGTTGAACATTTTAGTATGTAAATACCAATATTTGATCTCATCTTATCATGGTTGTCTTAAAAACCATCCATAACAGAGTTTTTGTTATTAGAAAAATCAAACAGTAGCCATTTATTTAGAGCTGCAATCAGACATGACAGGAAGATATAACATGTATACGTACATTGGCAAAAGATATTGTGTTATATAGATTAGGTATTTGATGGCATGAAAAATGGATGGAAAATCTGTATTACAAAAAAAAATATTCTTATTCATTCCTTTCCAAGAATAGGCATATATTATAATATTGATTTGGTATTTTGTTTTACTATCATCATCATGTGCGTATTGCACAAGATGTCATGTGTCTGTTCATAGACTAAGATTAATTGCAATCAATATGATGACTTACTATTTCACAATAATTGTTAATTAGTAAACAGGTGATAAAATGATTATATTATACAAGTAATTTTAAAGCCATTCTCTTCTAGATCACTGAAGATCAATCTGGCAATATGCAGATCTGAATAATTGCAAAAGCCATTCAAATAGGTGAAGTCATGGGAGTGGCTTTGTTCACCTCAGGATTTCTTAGAATTAACTGGCTACCTATAAAAGTTTCGAGGAAATGAGAGTCATTAAAGTGCAAGATTTAACATGATTTGTACTATATTGGCAAATATGTAGGGTAACTTAAATTGATATTTGTTAGTTGTTAGTTGTATGGGTAAAAGTCAGCATATTTGACAGTAAGTTGCTTTACTTTGAATGTGCTAAAATTTGATAGAGATTCTTTCAGAAAGGATGATATTCTATAAAGATTAACAATGATGACTGATAAACTGTTATTGTTGGAAAATGCTTACTCTTTCATTTTACTGGACTAATATAATATAGCTATCCGACTTATTTCAAGTTATACCTATTGGACTGATTTCAAGTTATACCTATTGGACTTATTTCAAGTTATAACTACCTCAATGATTTAGTTAGCTTGTAGAATTGACTTGTGGATTGTGATTTGGATAGATACAAGTTGAACTATCTGGTACATGTACAGCAATTTGATACGTTTCATGATAAATCTACCAGTACCTCAGTGATTTCTAACTGTTTAGGCTTTGGCTTATGTTTTGTAACTTTGATGGATGCATGTTGGATTTACACTTTGTGAATTATACCACATGCATTCTCCCAAATATACAGACAGGCCTAGGGTGGAACAAATACTTTATTGAGAAATCGGAATAAAGGGTGTGAATTCTGGGTTTTCATCTGTTCTGATCTGAAAAAATAAAAACCTTCCCAATAGGCACGAAATATAGTATCTGTTATGTACTGATTGTTTTTAGTTTACTATGAACAATATTATCATTTAAGTTCTTATTTTTTGAATATGCAACTATCATTTTCTGCTTAAAGCATGGGGGAATTTGTCTAGAAGGCTCTTATAGTGGGCATGGACTATCTTGCTACCTTGCTTGCTTGATTACTGGTTGTATTGAACGGGACAACAAAGGGTGCTATGCCTGCATTATGGTGAATATTTAGTCCTATAGGTCTTGCTGTATTCAATGTTTCAATCCAATGGGCTTCCCTAGATTGACGGAATTTGGTAGTAAAGAACTCTTTTCTCTGTTTTTGAATTTTATTTTATTTCAGTTCCTTACTTTTGATTTATCTCAGTCCCAGAGAGCCTAAATATTTCAGTCACCATGAAAATTCATTAATATTTAAAACACTGTCATGTCATGGTGTCTGATAGTTTGAGATTCCATTTCATGAAAATTATATATGATATATGATAAGAATGAAAATAATGAGAAACTTGATGTAACATTTCATGTAGCAATTTAAAATAACACTTAATAAATTAATAGTTGTTGTTTTTGTAATGCAGGGAATATGATGATGATTAAGGAAAGGTATTAAGTAACATTTTATATGTTATATAATGTTGAAGTTGATGGTATGGCAGCAGAAGATTCCACACCCAAACATGGCAAGTCAACACCTCGAGTCCTCTCTGCTAAACGTAGAACAGTAGAATTTCTAAGGTAAATCATTATTTTTTTAGGTGTTTTTATCATTGAAATTTCTAAAAAATCTCATTATCCTCGTGCATTTTGTTTCTTTTATTGTCTGTGGATTACACCATATGGAAATTAATGAATTATGGATGTAGTTACCTACAAGAAACAAACCATCCAAAGTTAATCTGTTATTGTCTTATCAAAATTCTTGTTTTTTAAATTAAATAGAAATCTTAAAAAATAACCTTTAAGAAATATTTCAAGATAAAATTGATAAGAAGTAATTAAGATGTTATGTTTAAATGATTTTTGGTATTTTCAGAAGCAACATCCTTTAAATTTCTAAAACATAATTATATACAACATCCTGATTATTCAATTGCTTGAAATATAATTTTAAGATATAAAATTTGCAATGATATTTGTCCTATATAAATTTGCAATTTTCTGCCTCGTGCAGCCAATAGAAATAGTACAAAATATTTTCTATGATATTTGATTGTCAGATTATCGAGGGGTCGGGGAGGCAGTGAAGATCTTTGTTCACTGGTAGAATTAGTTTCCATGTCTGAGTTTTCTGTAGGTTCCATTTATTACCTGAAAAAAAAACACAATATAGAAACAATTTTAATAATTTACCTTTGATATAAACAGATTTCTCTCCCAAAAATTACATAATTTTGACCAAATTAGTCTCAAATCAGTGAGAAAAATTACGTATTCATAGCAAAATATAGTCCAATCAATAATTCAATACAGAATTGGGTAAGATTTTCATTAAAGACTTGAAGCCGAGAGAAAATCAAACCTTACTTTGGAAAGTGGAAAGAATGTGTTCTTATCTCTTGAAACCGTGGCAGCAAAGCGATTTGTGTTTTGTTAAAATAACCTCATTTCTGTTCATCGATCTGATTGGTCAGATTTAAATGCTACCAATCTCATTTCTGCGCCTCTAAAATGAAGTGTGGTGGGCTTAATTTAATACAGGTTAATAAGACCATGTCAAAACCCATATTCGTGATACATGATATAAAGTATAATATTTCAAGGTCATTTGTTATGTGAACTAAAGTATCAAACCCTGTGGGCATATTATGGGGATTTAGGATATTTATACCTAGTTATCATATAACCAGCTGTGTTTTGTATTTGAATAAATAATCTATATATCATACCAATATCAATACAGATTAAATGTAAAGTTTAAAACATTTTTTAACTAGAGCACCATATATTGATATTTTTTTTTATACGCCCACATAGAAATGTGAATGTATATTGCCATCGCCCCTGTCTGTGGTACTGTTGGGCTATTAGTCAGTCTGCTTGTCAAAATTTGTATGAAATTTGGTCTGATAATTCATGATAAATGAAATGATATGATTGGAGATATTTATTTATATTGAGATCCTGGTTTGGATTTTTGACAATTTCTCACTTAACAATTTTGAGTTATTGCCATGGACATTAGATCTTGTGATTTAATAATTTGATGTATTTGGTTTATTGATATTGATGTTTAAAAATTTTGTGAAAAACTCAGCATAAATAACTGACAGTAAATATATATATCAATAAATTTAAACTACAAATGCATTATGAAGAAAATTTTTTTTTTCTTTCCTGTATCATCATTTCTGGCAGCTGCCAGTGGGTGTATGTTATCCTGCCTGGTAAGCTATCTTTGAATTGGTAGTGGTATAGATTATAAAACATTATAAGTAATGACCCGACTCAGATTCCTAATATGACAGCACTGTGTTTTATATTCTGACGTCAATTGAACAAGTTTATTGATAATGTTTCATCTAGTAGATCACAGCCAGAAGATGATTCACTTACAATTCTTCATTCATGATTTAAGACTTATGTCATTGAAGTGAAGAAGTGATGGCATTGAGGTGGATTAACTTGAATTAATTTAAGCATGCATGCAAATAAGCAAAATATGAACCATAAGATAAGAGTTTAGAATCTTCGTACTGTAGAATATACTACTTGTTGATAATTTCTTGTTCCTGTGTAGTGATGTCCCTTACTTAACTTTGCTCTTCGGTTTGGAGTCCTATGGATGTAGATAGAAATGTAGCCGATTTTTCAAAACTAGCTGTCCTGACAAAGAGTTTGTATCTAAAAAGCTCTAATCAATTAGCTAATGCATAAAATGGCTTCTCTACAAACCCAGTTGCAGTAAAAGGTGTTCAGAAAGGATCGAGGTTTGCTAGATATGAAACGTGACACCAGGCTGATTCACTCCTTGACTGAATTATTTGATAATAAAAGACAGTTTTTATCTATTTAAGATAAGATTTATGGTGGACTTTGTTTATTGTTTGAGAATAAGAAAGTAATCAATATAATTTACAATTCACCATCATGCAATAATGTAGATGTTTACTTCCATTCAATATGTCAGTCTGTGCTGGTGATTGTGATGCAGATGTCAACTGTATTGGTATATGAAATGAAACTTTATTTTATCTCAGATCACCTTGATTTCAAGGATTCTCTCCTGGGGGTAATTTCAGATCATTTGAGGACATCCCTGGCAAGGGTACCAGATTGAATCTAGCTGGCAGAGAGTAAGCAGATGTATTTTTATCCTGCAACAGCCTACAAATGTGGTGCAATGGTACCACATCACTGAGTAATTCTAGTCCTTATGATGTGGTCAGTTGTAATGAAATTGGTACAGTCCTTCAAAAATGAAGTCCTTTCTTAGCAACAAAATGATTTACATTTTTTATGCGGAAATGATATTATTATACTCAACTTTACAGGATTGCAGGGTTCCAGTTATCACTTTCCCTAGAATAAGAGTATACTCATAGTTATTAGAACTGTCTTGGTGGGAAGATAGATCATTAACAAGATCCTTTAAATATGCCAGTTGTGTTCCTGACATAACATTTTACTTAGGAACATTAAAATCTCCTACGTAGTGAAAGCTGATGTATTAAAATAGATTCTAAATAGAGACTATAATACATGAAGATGTCGTTAAAATTTCTGTTGTGTCGGCGGATGGCTGCTTTCTTGAATGTAACATATAAATAAAAAATTAACATGTTGTTCAAGTGATATTTAGTGCTCTTCTTGACAAACCTACATTTTTTTCTAGAAATGAACTAGTTTATTAAAGTAACACAGTCATCTAAATAGTTGTGAAATTTCTTTCGAATAAGCACAATCGCAAATAAATAAAATTGGAAAATATTGAGCTTGTGTTATATCTCTTGTTCTTTGACAATTGTTAATTTTTTAGCATGTAAACAAAATGCACAATTCTTTTGACAAACTTTGGTAAAATGGATTACTATCACCCATAAATGAACTCTATCAAAAACCAGAAAGTAATTGCCCTTGTCCTTCAAAACACATTTCATCTTTAGGTTTTGTTAACACTTAAGAAGGCACAATTCTTGACGGTTTAGAAATGCAAGTTATACCTCCTTTTTCACTGAAGAATATATATTATTATGAAGTCATTATTTTAAAAGAAATATGTCACTTTTGGCTCAATATTTCAATTTGAGGGATTGTTGCTGTTCTGCTAAATGTCCAATGTAAATGAGCCACAACTGGGTGGAGGCTATATTACCTTTGCGAGACTTCATGAATGTTTGTGAAATATTGAGATAAGACAATCTTTAATTATAATATGCACTTTGTTAACCAACTTTGACAAGCTACAAGTTTCTATGTCAAGAGCATCATTTAGAAATTAAATTCATTGTTTAACTGCTTTACAAGCACACTCCACATTAGTTTATTGTTGTTGACCTATTAGTCACTAGTCATGTGAGAATGTCATCAGGAGATTTTTACCAGACTTGTTGGCTAATGGAGATAAACCTTGAATAATTTGTTTTTTCAACTCCTTTTATATTACATTTATATAAAGTAAAGGAATCGGTCATCAACATATTTTTTTCATCCATCAATAACACTTTTCAGAAGTAAAAAGGTACCACACCATTTCAGACTTCAATCGACTTCAAGGGCGCTATTAACCATCTTGCATGAAGTAATATCTAAAGACTGTGTGTGAGCTTGGAATTCCTGGAAGTGAAACAGTCCTTATTTGCAAGGATGCAAATTAGAAGGAAAATATTTTTTTTGTCCAAATGATCAAAATTGAGATGGAAGTGATAGTCTACTTGATTAATCCATAATCTTTGAAATACCGAAAGTAATCTATTTCCTTGTACATCTATTAATCTTCATTAGCCAGTAGCCCTACAGTTAGTAATCTTATTTTAATATTTAATGGTTTCCATAGTCTACATCTAATCCTGTAAATTCCTGAATTTATAACTTCTCCATAACCATATTGCTGTTTTCAACTCCCACCTGAGATATTAGTTTACAATCCAGGGAATTAAAACATTTTAGTTCTTGTATTGGTTATTGTCTTTTTGATATTTAAATGAGTTGGAATAAATGCCTGTCTATTCATGTATTAGTGTTCATATTCAACCAGATATTTATGATGTTAATAGGGTAATGAAAGAATCAAAAGTATTACAGTACAGTGGTGTAACCTATTTTCGTGGATATAATGATTCAACACCTAATTTCGTCAAAGTTAAAAAAACGAAATTTCTTTTATATGTCTTAGATGTTTCCTCAGATATTCTACAAAATAATTAAAATTTGTTTGTTTCAATTTTCTTTATGAATTCTTCACTTTGACCCATATTTCAACCAACTGGCAACGGCGGCAGAATGCGTCACCTATTTTCGTGTACAATGTTTGAAATATAAATAAGTCTAGAAAAACACGTTGTATGGATACCGGGTGGTATAATTAACTTCTCTCAGTATTTATCTTTAATATCAATTCATTATAACTAGTGACAATTCCTTCAAAGAACCACGATTTAAAAAAAAAAAATAGTGACTGACAAAATAAGATACGTAGCGTGATTTATTGCTAAAAGTCACTGAAACAACATAAGAATATGGTCCACTTTGTGTTCCATAGAAATTTTTTGCTTACACGGAATCCGCTACTTGATCAC